TCCACTTCACTGAACATATAGTATTATTATTTCATGTAAATACTATTTCTTTTGGAAATACACTATATAATTTCAAACTTCTGTACTGTTAACTATGTTTATATACAGTCAATCTCTTCACACAACTCAACCTTTCTAGTTTTGACTGTAATGTCATGATGTAAAGCTTTTGTGAAGCTGCTTTAGACTGACAATAATTGTAAAAAGAGATAAACAAGTGAACATAAATTGAATGATACAGTGCTTGGTGGTTAGATACTAGGCCGTTTTTACTATTTTGGCAGTCGCAGCAGCAGTATGATTTTGGCCAATTCTGGTAAAATAAAAATAAAAAATCTACCTTTATCTTTTTAAAAAGTTACTAGTACTTAAGCAATTGAATGAGCAATAGTAGCTAATGAGTAAGTGCTAAATTGGAAAGATGCTAACTAAAATAAAAAAGAAAAGGCAGCATGAAAATAGACTACCACATTTTATGGAATAAATGCTGAAACGGTTTGCCATAATGTTTGTCAGTCATCACCCACCTGTAGTAAAGATACCTTTATTGCATTGTTACTAATAGACTTCTTGCAATCCAACTTGTTTGAGTGCACAAAACCAGCAACGTTTGTGTGTGGGAATATTTGAAACGATGTGTATAATCAGATAAAGAAAACATATTTCAGTATAGCATGCCAAAAAGGTCTGAATTGTGCTTTAGATCAAGGAGAGGCAAAACTTGATCCTGGAGGGTCCTGCAAAGTTCAGCTCCAATCCTAATCGAACACACCTGCCGTTAGCTTTCTAGTTATCTTCAAGACACTGATTAGCATACCCAGGTGTGTTTGATTAGTGTTGGAGCAAACCGACATGACCAAGTTTGCCCATCCCTGCTTTAGATTAATATCATTAAATCACTTTATAATAAAGCATGCATAATGGTGTCTGCTAGTCTTTTAATATTTAAATATCACAAAAACCCACTCGAAATCTACTTTAATATGACAAAAATCATGAGGAAGAATAAATAATGTTTATTGTACAGTCTGCAATGAATTACAAGTCAAAGTAAATTTAGAAATCACTATTTTCTTACTTGTTTTCCATACAGTCTTTTTTCTGACAACTTTTTCTGATTTGTGGTTGTGTATGAAGATATTTATGCCAATCGCCAACGCCTGAGAATAATCTCCCCAAGCGCTTTAAAACAGCTGCTAACCTGACTCTTATGAGTTCTCTCTCTCTCACCTTACAGACACGACGGACTGAAAGAGAAAGGCGATCGGCGTAATCACACCAGCACTGTGACGGACCGACTCACCTGGGCACATTTGAAGCTGGAAAGCCTTTAAATGGTTTCTCAGTCTAGTTCTGTAGGTTAAACAATCATGCGAAATACAGCTGATTTGACAGTTGTCCAAAAGATGAACACTCAAGAAGGGCAGGACACAGAAGGTCATTGCAAAAGAGGCTGTATGTTCACAGCGCGCTGTATCCAAGCACTTTAATAGAGAGGTGAAGGGAAGGTAAAGTGGTAGAAAAAAGTATGCACACAGTAGGAATAACCACACCCTGGCCTGGAGAGAATTGTGAAAGGAAAACATATTCAAAAATGTGGGGAGATTCACAAAGAGTGGACTGCAGCTGGAGTCGCTGCTTAAAGAACCACTACGCACAGACATTTGCAAGATATGGGTTTCAGTTGTTGCATTCCTTGTATCAACCCACTCTTGACCAACAGACAGAGTCAGAAGCTTCTTGCCTGGTCTAAAGACTGGACTGCTGCTAAGCGCTCCAAAGTTATGTTCTTTGATGAAAGTAAATTTTGTTTTTCCCTTGGAATTCAGAGTCCCAGGGTTTGGAGGACGAGAAGAGAAGCACACAATCCATGTTGCTTGAGGTCCAGTGTAAAGTTTTCACAGTCATAAACAATATAAACATCTTTGATTTTGTTCCCAGCTATTTACAATCACACTTAAGTCAAAATTGACATATATTTGTAACAATAGCTTTCCATGATTTGGACCAAGAATTTGACAATGTAATGATAGATGTTCAACAGTACAAGGTCTTCGTGGACGAATTCGGGCACTAGGAAAGCAGAAAGTACGTACTTTATTACCTTTTGAGGAGGCGGCGCGGACGTGATGAACGATCGAATCACCGATGATGGCCACATCGGGACCCGTCTCGCGAAGAGGGGAGAAGCGGTTCTCCATGGAGATCTCGAACATGGGAGGAGGAGACTTTCTGCCCCGGGATCTGGCAAGCACCTTACGCGGCTGCACCCAGGCGCCGTGGTAGCCGGGTGTCGGCGTGAATGACGCCTTGCCGAGCCGCGCCCCGGGTGCGCTGGACCTTGACAGAGAAGGACGCGGGGTTGAGGTAGAGGGAGTGATGTGGTTGTAATTTCCACGTACCTTAGATGATGAGGCGGCCTTAGCGTTAGGCAAAACAAGCAACGGCTGTTGTTCCTGCAGCCGCGTCCGCCTCACCGAAAGTGCACGGATCTGGGAATCCACTTCTTCCAGCTCCAGCTCCAACGCCTCCATCGATGCTTCTCCTGCACAAAAGGACAGAGACACAAGCGACATTTTACGGGGTAAAGAGCAAGGCCAGCAAGTCAGAAGTGTATGGTAAAAGAGGTCGGTAGCTTTAGCTGACCAGCAGCGCTAGCAGGCTAAAGCTACAAACAACAGGCGGATGCTCGAGGGACAGACCGTTTTAAAGCAGTTTTGTTTGTATAAATGTATTAAGGGTTTGTTCACCCTAAGTAGGAGAGACAAATACTTAGCGAATGAGGAAGAATTTTATGATTAAGATCTAAATTGCGAGTAAATAGCGAGTCCAAACTTCAAGCACACGCAGTAGGCGACCGAACGGAGACAGTGACAGTGACGTCAGTGTATACCTGTGACAGTGACGTCAGTGTATACCTGTATCCTCCTCCTCCACAGCTAGGACTGTAATGTGTGCAGAATGTGGTGTTGCAATGTCTAATTGAAATATACATGGTCGTCCCTGGAAAAGAAGACAGCATATTGTGCTCCAAAATCTCTATGTGCTCTTCAGCATTAATGGTGCCATCACAGAAGTTCAAGTGATCTTTGCCAAGGGCACCTGACCATGACAGACCCTGGCTTTTGAACTTGTTGCTGGTAATAATCTGGATGATCCTTTTCTTTTTTGGTCCGGAGCACACAGCATCCATTTCTCTTAAAAAACCTGAAATACTGATTCCACTGACCCCAGTACACGTTTCCACTGTATAGTAAACTATCTCAGATGCCTCCGAGCCCAGAAAAAATTGACGGCGCTTCTGGACACTGTTAACATAGGGCTTCCTGTTGGCACAGTACAGTTTTAACTGGCATTTGTGGATGCAACTATGTACAGTGGTACTTGGCAAAGGTTTGCCAAAGTAGTCCTGATGGTCCTGAGCCCATTTGGTGATATCGCTTATAGATGAATGACGATTCTTGATGCAGTGCCACCTGAGGGATTGGAGATCATGGTTGTACAACTTAGGCTTGCACTATTGTCCTTTTTGCATAAAAAAATCTCCAGATTTCTTGAAACCTTTAATTATGTTATGCACTGTTGAAGGTGAAATATTCAAAATTCTTCCTATCTTTCTTTTAGGAACATTGTATTTGAAGATTTCAATATTTACCTTATGGTATTTGTTGGCAAACTGCCGATCCTCTGCTCATCTTTGCTTCCAAAGGACTAGATCTTTTATGGATGCTTTTTAAATTTTGCTTAATTTATTTGCAGTTTACTTGATTACTAGCCCTAAACTGCTCCTGTCCTGTCCTGTTTTTATTCTATTTTATTTTTTTTATGTGTTACAGGTTTGAATGAAAAAGTTGACCAGACGAAACATAAATAATTTGTGTTCACGTTAAAGTAAATAAATCTTTGTTATTTGCTTTAATTATAATGTCACAACTTTTTTGATTTGGAGATGTAGATAGGGATAACAGAGAAAAGCAATGTCATTCTAAAAAAACGCACTCTAAAAAAACGCTAGGTTATTTCAACCCAATTTTTGGTGTCATACAGACTAAACCAACTGCTGGCTTAATTTATTTAAATTAAATTAATAGGATCAAATTTAACACAATTTTGTGTTAGTCCATATTTTAGCCAACAGGTACTCTTTCATTTAAATATTTAATATTTTAGGGGTTCAAGCACACAGTACTGAAACCCCATTGTATTTTTTACATATATGATTGTATCACAAATACAACAAAAATCCAGCAGTGACAAAAGAAATTCCTTGTTTCATCTCTACTGTGATTAAGGATATTCAAAAGAAGCTTACCTAGAGAAGTGACTTCTCTTTGTAAACACAAATTGTCCTGAGGTTTGGTGGGTGAATCACTTGATTGCTATGCAAACCAACTAGCCCAGTGACAGTCTATGCATTTCATTAACATGCATGCAAACTGCAAACCTACTACAATATAAAGAAAGAAAGAGAAAAAGAAAGACCGAAAGAATTGCAGTGAATTTTATAAAGAGTAGAACCTGGAAAGTTCTGACATTTGCCATGCTTTTTCCACTACTAATGCCAGGAAAGACATTCCTGCATGCCAAATTCCTGTTTTTGTATTAAGTGTGCTTTTATAAATACATATGTATGTTTTTAAATCTTGGTCATCTTTGGTGTGACACCGAGTGTGACATACCATGTGTGTGTACAGAAGTTAAAATAACTATTGAACATGTTATACCCTCAAACATATTTCTAAAGATACTGTTGCTTTTAAAATTTTCACCAGATGTTGGTAACAAACCAAGTAATAAATACATGCAAATAAAATAAATGTTGAAGCTTGTTTAAAGTTTGCTTTACACCTAATTAAATTTGTGAAGTTATTAGTTTGTTTTCTGTGTTTATATGGAATACTTGGGTTTTTACTGATATCTGGTGAAATTTTCAAGTCAACAGCACCTTTGGAAATATATATTTTAGAGAAAATGGTGACGTGTTCAATGCTTATTTTAATGGATGAACCTGGGGTTGGCCAAAAGAGAAATGGGTGAATCGACTGGTTCCCCTTCTCTCCGGGAAAAGCACTTGGTGGCGTACCTCATGATGGACGAAGATCGGGTGGAAGTCTATAAGAATCTTCGAGAGGTGCTGATGGTTAAGTTCAACTTATCACCAGAAACCTACCGACAACGAGTCCAGCAGACGCTAACACATGCTGGAGAGCCACCGACAGAGACATACAACCAACTCAATGAGCTCTACAAATGCTGTAAACGACCAAAGCAGTGCACGAAAGAGCAGATAGAAGAGGCTATCATGCTAGAGCAACTACTACAAGTGCTTCCACATGAGGTGCTGACCTGGGTGAGAGAGCATAAGCCAGCCGACAAACTGAATGCAGAAAAACTGGCAACACAGTTCCTGGATGCACACCAGGGAGGTCAGAAGTGGCCCCAGGCTACACCGACACAAGGGTCCAAGCACACTGATGCAGCAGAAAAAAAGGGTACCTTCTCTGTTATTCATAGTAAAAAAATATTTGTTTCTATTGCCAGCAAGAGGTTCACAAGGCTACAAACTGTACAGTGCACACACCTAAATTAACCAGTCTTTGTTATGTCCCAAGGGAGTGTGACTTCAAAGACAATGTTATGTGCACCACCCGACACATAGACGTCACAGTGAATGGACAAATCGTGAATGCACTTAGACACCAGCCGCACATTTACACTGATAAAATGATGCTACATTCAAGGAAATACCATTGACTTTTCACACACACAGCATTCAATGCTTACATGGGGACAAAAAAAGACTATTCTACCACTGATGTGACTGTTGTGATTATTACTCAACCATTCTTGATATCAGTGGGAGTGGTGGATGCATTACCTGTGCGTATGGTTTTAGGGTCGGACCTACCTGTGTTGAATGAACTGTTAAACCATGTTGTTGAATGTACCAATGTAAATGTTGTTATGTCATGTCCTGTGCAAACACACTCACAAACCAGAGCGTGTTTAGAACCCTTACCTACCATGGATGACAGTCTGATCCAAGGGGAGGGGGTTAAACCTGAAGGATTGAAGGTAACTGAATGGGACTTTCCTGTAAATATAAAACAGGTACAAGCTGAAGATCTACATTGAAACCTTTGTTTGCCAAAGTATGTGGGGGATAAAGCAAATTGAGACGTTTGGGGCAGAGGAATATGTGATCGAAAATAATGTACTATATGTGTTGTCTGATAATATCAAACATTTTGTTGTGCCTACATGTTGCAGATCACTCATCTTACATCTAGCACACATTATTCCATGGATTGGTAGAAAGATTTAATCAAACCTCCAAAAGGATGTTAAGGAAATTTGTAAGCGACAACGACAAAGACTGGGACAAGTGGCTCCCATTCCTGCTTTATGTATACCAAGAGGTACCACAGCTGTCTAAAGACTTTTCGCCTTTCAAACTCCTGTACAGATGTCAGGTGCAAGGTCCTCTGGATCTGTTAAAGAGGAGTTGGGAAGCAACAAGTAACTCTGATGTAGGAGAAACTAACATTGTAAGGTTTGTATTACAGATGAGAGACCGATTTGAGAAGTACAGAGAGCAAGCTCAGGAGAATCTGGAGGAAGCCCAGAAGAACCAGAAGCTGTGGTACAACAAATGGTCTCAGAACAAGACAAGGTGGGACTTTGAGACCCCAGAACACTTCCAGTAAACCTGGAACATCTGCAAGAGAGGCAAAGAGTAGAACTGACCGAAGTACTAAACACCCAACCAGAGTTACAGAGAGGAAGATCTGGAAGAACAAACCTGGTAGAGTACAAAATCTATCTGACTGAATCAACACCTATTCGTCAAACACCATATAGAGTGCCTGAAAGCCTGACAAATCACTTGACGTAAGAGTTTAAGATGATGTTGGAAATGGACATCATAGAACCATCAACTAGTGCCTGGAGTAGCCAAATAGTCCTTGTAACAAAGAGAGATGGTACGCTGAGATTATGCCTTCAGGAAGTTGAATGTGGTGTCCAAGAGTGATACTTACCCAATGCCACGTCGAGCTGGTCAAAAGAACTGAGAGAGCTAAGTACATCACGATCTTGGACCTCTGTAAAGGATACTGGCAGGTACCATTGGAGAAGATGAGCAGGGAATACTCTGCCTTTAGGACACCGGTGGGGCTATACCATTTTGGGACTATGCCCTTTGGTCTTCATAGAGCGCCTGCCATGTTTAAAAGACTCATGAATCAGGTATTAAGAAATTGAGAGGAACACAGTGCTGCATACCTGGAAGACGTAGTCGTTTATAGTACTACCTGGTCCGATCATGTACACTATCTGCACAAGATTCTGCAGAAGATACAGGGAGCTGGTCTGACCCTGAATGTCACCAAGTGGGCCAGACAAGAGATCAAATATCTTGGCTTCTGACGAGGGAATGGAGAAGTCTGACCCCAAGTGAACAAGGTGGAAGCCATCCGTAACTGTCCTCGACCCTGTACCAAGGAGGAGGTGCAATTTTTCTTGGACTGGTTGGATGGTATTGCCGTTTTATTCCCCAATTCTCTGATGAAGTTGTACCCTTGACAACCCTAACTGCTAAGGCAGTGAAGAATCCAGTGCCTTAGACAGAGGATTGTGAATAAAGCTTTTACAAACTTGAAGGAAGGAATGTGCACCTTCCCCGTTCTGCAAAGCCCAGACATCACCAGGAAATTCCTTGTGCAAGTGGATGCTGCAGCTAAAGAGATTGGAGTAGTATTGTTGCAGGAGGATAGAGAACAGGAACACCCCATTCTATATCTGAGTCAGAAGCTTTTCCCCCCCGAGAACCACAACATGCCACCATCGAGAAGGAACGGTTGGCAATCAAGTGGGCACTAGAAAGCCTTCACTACTACCTTATGGACAGATAACTCATATTGAAGACTGGTCACAGAGCACTAACCTGGATCAACACTATGAAGGACCATAATGCCAAAGTGACCAAATGGAGCCTATCACTACAGCCCTTTAAATTCCACATCCGCTATAAGGCTGGAAAGAGCAACGTCAACGCAGACTACCTGTCATGATTGCCAGGCGTCAACAGTCCAGGAGAGGTGGGAGGTAATCCCATGCCATCTCCTCCAGCAATATCATAAATCTTCATTATCAGAATATGTTTAACTACTAAATATCGGCATATGTCTATTAGAATCTTGACCATCAGTAGCTTAAAGGGATAGTTTTCTTTACTTGTTTGGAACCAGTCTAAGATTCATTCTATTAATTTGTTAATTTTTCTTCAGCTTATTCTATTAGAAATCACTACAGTGGAATGAACCGCCAGTTACTTTCTTTTGTTAAAAACACCATAACCATTGACTTCCATAGAATTTTTTCCCCTAATATAAAAGACAGTTGTTATCGATTTCCAGCTTTCTTCAGCATACAGTACCTTTTTTGTGTTCAACAGAAGAAAAAAACTCATACAGATTTGGAACAAACTAAAGCTGCGGTCACACTAGAGTTTGATGAAGTGAAATTCTGTCGTACAGCTCTGCGAAAAGGGGCGGTATTAAAAAAGCTTATTAGACATTTAAAAAAGCGAGTTTTAAATTTCTGTCCAGAGATGTCATGTTTTGATCCTCAATTGGTCTCACACAGTCAAGTGATGTGATTTCGCAGGTCAAAGTTCACCAAGCATGACCTTGCATTTCCAGTCTGACGCATTCACGTGTGTATGAATGGAAGTCTATGGGAGAAAAAGCCCAGTGTAACCGCAGCTTAAGGGTCAGAAAAACAGTGGGTAAATTAAAAATTTAGGTTGGACTTTTTGTTTTATTAATGTCCACCCAAACAATTAAAAAAGTTTGTAGCATTGCTTGTAAACACCTTACTTGATCGAGATTAGATCTTTAATCTGAAAGTGGAGTAGACATTAAATAATCAGATAAATAGAAAAAAGCAATGCAAAGATGAATTTATACATAGACTACATATACTGAACATCTGTTTTATCTTTAATGAATCTGCACATATTATGTACTGATGGAGTGGAGGGTTTTACTTAATATTTGCTTTGAAAACTTTTTCCATTTATTTTAGCTTGTTATTAGCAAAATGATGACCACTTACAGTGATTTGATGACATTATTTGTTTTGATTAAAACAAATTGTGATGCAATCACACCATTAATGCAGTTCATTTTAATAAATGTTAACCTTGGTGCACACCAACTGGAACAAATTTATTAAAAATTATAGGTCTTGATCTGCTTCACCTTAAGATGCAATAAAATAGGCTGAATGTATGGTGGCCGAGGCCAGTGACGATCTCTTTTGTCACACATTCACAAACACATTCATTCACTTTGATCAAATCTACCTATATTGCATGTCTTTAGACTGTGGGGGAAACCAGAGTACATTGGGAGAACATGCAAATTCCACACAGACATACCACTTGGCCAAGCTGGGACTCGAACCACAGACCTTTTTGCTGTGAGGCAACATGACTAACCACAGAGCCACTGTGCCTCCCCTTGTACCAAACTTATCAGGCCATGATTCTTGAGAATGGAAGTTGTTTGGTGTCATGTCACACACTGTTTAATTCGGAAGGGCTCATTCCTATGTCAATCCTCTGAAGGATTAGTAAGGGATTAGGGTATAGGGATAAGCCTTTCCAAATGGAATATATTAGAGTATACAAGTCTAGATTTTACTTCATATAACAGAGGTAATTTACCCTTTTTGTCTACTTCCCATGATGTTTTGAATGAATTCTGCTAAGTGTAAGCAAAGAAAGATTTGTAGTTTGGGGGGAAAAAAAGCTAAATTGTATGTGTAGGATTTTTAACCATACCATAAAGAAATCCCAAAAGTGTGATTCTTTCTCTTTTCAAAGATGATTTCTTGAACTTGGAAAGAGATGTGAGGATTTGAGAAGAAGATGAGCAATTCTTAATTCATTCCACTGAATTGTTCATTGAAGGTATTGTAAACTTTTAAATAGAATATTTAGTATAACTAAAAAACACCACAAATGCACAGTTCATGGTTGGTGTTTTCATATTGTTATAAAAGTAAGATATGAAAAAAAAAACAATTCTCATAAGTTGCTAAACATTTTTCACTGTTAATTTATTTAAACCAATAGACAATCCAAAGTGCACATTTATGATATGAAATGATTTATTTTTTACTTTTTGCATGTAACTTTTCCAAACCAGAGAGTGACGGCTATGCGTATGTAAATATATGCTATTATATCTCTAAATGGCAAAATAAACACACAACAAAGAAGACTGCACTGAAAAAAAGCTTCTTTTTTTTTTTGGATCATACAATAGTTTCAAGAGTTTACACTTAGCTGATGATTAATTATAAGTAAGTTTGGCATGCTGTCCCGGGAGAGAGCCCTGAGCCCAAAAGGTCCTTATGCCCTGGGCTCCCTCTCGTTTGCAGGGCGAGAGGGAAGCTCAGGTAGATCTCGACAACTCCAACCTTGATAAGAGCTGATGACTAAAATTAATGCTATGAAGAGATTTGCTGCAGGATGAGATTTTGACTGTAGTGCTAAATTTAGATTGATCAATTCACTTGTAGTGCATGTTTTTGGAATGTGGAAGGAAACCTGAGAACCCAGGGAAAACCCACACGAGCACAGGAAGAACATGCAAACTAGGAACAGAAACGACCACCAGCCTGTTAAAGGACTAAAACCGGTGACGTTCTTGCTGTGAGGCAACAGTGCTAACCACTGGGCCACTGTGCCGCCCTAAGAAGGAAAAGGTAGAGAATTAGGGGTGGAAGGAGGGATTCTTCAAATCGAAGATGGCTGTAGTGAGAAACCCTGGTTTTTTTATAGTGGGTTGGGAATAGCCTGATTGGTGGATACATAGCTTATACATACATAGCTAATGCAGAACCAGCCATGTTCAATCATAATCACATGATCCTCTCGAAATTAGTTTATAAATAAACTTCACTTCAAGAGTTCACACTTAGCTTATGATTGATTATAAGCAAGTTTGGCATGCTATACCAGGAGAGAACCCTGAGCCCAAAAGGTCCTTGAGCCCTGGGTTTCCTCCCGTTCGCAGGGCGAGAGGAGAGCTTTGAGCTTAGGTAGATCTCGAGAACTCCCCAAAATGCTCTGCTTGGGACAGCAGCCGCATATTTGAAGAACCCCCCAAAAGGCAATGAAAATTAATGCAATACCCAGCTGCTGGGTATAAAATGTTAAAAAGGTGGTACTAGAAAGGCTTGTAGGAGCAAAATGAGACTACTGCGGGAGTAAATGGTGAAATAAGAGTGGTCGTTGCTACTGAAGTGATGTATTGGCAGATGGAATATGTACAACTATGTGTGCTCCCGGGGCAGTATTAATTAAAAGGACCGGGCAGGAGAGTGAGATAAATGTAATGATTTGAAGCATATATGGTTGAGCTCTGTAAGAGAGGCTTACTATGGCAGTGGTGAAATGAAGCTATTAAGTTCTGCAGAGTGTCTTTGCTGCTGCAGACATGCGGTGAAAATCAGTATCATGGAATTATTGAAGGATAACTATGTGTCCACAGAGGTGTTTTAACCACTTTGACAGCTGAATTAGTATTAGTAGAAAAATTTTGGAAGTGGACATGAGCTTAGGCAGAGCGTAACTGCTGCGGCAGTGGTGCAGAGGGGAATGAAGCTCGGCTGAGCGTCTCTGTTTTGCAGAGGTGCGATGGAAGTCAATAGTAAAATGTAAAAAAATATGCTTCTGCAGAAGCGTTTTAACTGCTTTGGTGTTGCTGGGGGTGTGTTAGCAGTGGTATGGATGAATGATACTGTACATAAGCTCAGGCAGAGCGTCACTGCTGCAGGGTGTAGCTCAGCGGAGCATTTCTGCGGCTTCAGCGGTGTAGTAGGTCAGTATGGAGGCAACGTGTTCTCCCGCAGAAGCTGTATTAATGCGAGGGAGTGCAACGATAGTAGTTTAGGCCATTCTCTGGCCTCATGTCTAAAGCTAATAATATTATTATATTATAACAATAATAATAATGGTGATAATAATATGAATTTGATATTTACTGTTGTATTATGTGCACAATAATATATACTTTTTTAATTTGTACGTAATCTGATAACATTAACAAATTTAAAATGAAATTTGTGTAGTAGTATAGGCTTTTTTTGCAATTTTTCTTACAATTTGCTGTTTGTTTCAAAACATTTGGTTTTATTTAAAGAAGCATTGAAATATCAGAAGAGGACAGCTGCATGTAAATGTTTTGATTTATTTTGGCTGTGTTTAGTTTAATGGTTTTCCCGCATTTTTCACATAATTTGTTCTTGTGTGGAGGTGTTTCTATTGCTTGTGAACAGAAATAGCAAGGTGTGTCCAATAGCCAGCTACAAGACATATATAATCAGTGAAAACCAACCAGTTAGTTTCAGGAGAAGCATTTAAACATCAGAAGAGGACAGCTTGCTTGATGTAAGTGTTTTGGCTGTGTTTAGTGTCCTGTTTTCTAGGGGTGGGCACAAGAGTGTTACTTTGGTTTGAGAGGTGATACCAAATTGGGAAAGACAATTTCAATTTAAAATCCAAATGTCAATTGCATTTACAGAATATGGTGATGCAAAATCCAGTAAAAATTTTGATTTAGTTTAATTTCAAACTAACATAAAAAACAGCAACAACAACAACAAAACTGTATATGCTAAATCACTTTTTTTTGTCATATCAATTTGTCAGATAGACAGCTCATCAAAAGTAATATGTAAGCTATGTGAAAATGTTGATCATTATTTTATTAAATATCTTTCATACATAAACAACCATCTTTAGCTAATTAAAAGCTAGCTTTTGTGCACAAATTCATAGTTGTTAGATATCATTTATGTCAGCATGTAGTTTTTTTTTTTTTTTAATGATTTTTTTAGATTTTGTTTGTGTGATTAAAGCAAAGATTATCAAACATTTTCAGTAAATTATGTTCTCCAGTTGACAGATTCGGCCTCTCAATGCTGTTGTTTTTCTAGTTTAAAAACAAAACAAACAAAAAACCACTGTACCATTCTAAACTGAATATGTTGCAGGGCAAATGGCACAGAGCCCATTTGTATGGTTTGCTTTTACTATCGTGTTATCATTTGAACTTGCATTGTAAATATGTCTAAACAAGACAGGAGCGGAATCCCGGAAAATAAACCTTGGAACTCAATCAATGAGTGACATATTTAGTCTACTTGCATATGATTATAAATTTTGGTCTGTTTTTTTTTTTTTTTTTGGCCTGTGTTTACTGAAGATCTTGATGGTCAATTACAGTTATGTAACTGTATTAGATGTATTTGATGACCAGGTTAAAAAGTTCCTCCAATGTAGCCTATGCATTTACACTGCACACGCAGTCACAATGACATGGAAAAACAGAGCAGACTGAATATAATGAAAACAATCTTGTCTATGACCACAGTGAACGATATATATATGAATCCTATTAGTCTTTATTGCATTTTCAGTTCTGTCTCACACATTACAGATTAATAGCTTTAGACATTTCTCCTCCCAAGAGAGTTTGTTTTGCTGAATTGTGATTTCTCTTGTCATTTATTTATTTTGTTCTTTTATTTTAGTAGCTGTAACATGTCATCCACAAAACACAAAAATGCTAAGAGGATAGAAGGTCTGGATAAGAATGTATGGTAAGCATAGAGATTTTTTTGCAATAATTTTCTTACATACTGTACATGTGTTAAATGCTTTGTTAATGTCTCTTGTGTTACTCAGGGTGAGCTTTACATCAGTGGCAACAGACCCTACCATTGTCAATCTTGGACGGGGTTACCCAGATATTCCTCCTCCTTCATACGTGAAAGAGGGACTTGCTCAAGCTGCAATGGTAGACCGGCTGAACCAGTACACACGCAGCTTTGTATGTCCTGTCTATACACCATAACTATCTCTTTTGTGCAGTAGTTTTTTAGATACTATTAGGTACTTGTTACATATTTACTGACTAGTGTTTTCTATAAATGTTAGTACTTATTGTAGTGTAAAATACAGGAGTAGTTCTAGCTAAATTATGCTCACAGAATGTATGTAAGAGCTCACTTATAGGTACTCAGATTTTAAATAATAGATTCCAGTTTATAACTGTAAGAAAAGAGTATATATTATACTAGTAGTAAATACATATTAGTTTTTATTAATTAGATACTTGCACTTATTGAATAGCTAGTATCAATTTAAAAGATACCAGTACAAGTTTATTAGATACTACTATTAATTATAATGTTACTATTAACATTTCCAATCACACTTTATTTTGATGGTCCGTTTGTTGAATTTAAGTTACATTGCATCTACATGCCAACTAATTCTCATTAGATTATAAGTAGACTGTTAGGTTAGGGATGGGGCTATTGTTAGTCAGTGTCAGTTGACATGTTCTTGCAAAGTTTCTTATAGTCTGTTTAGCAGCAGTATCAACAGGTATTAAGCAGACAGTCTACTAATACTCAAATGGACCATCAAATTAAAGTGTCACCATATTTTCAGTTTGCCTACTACAGGTTGGAGAAAAGTCCTTACCCCAGGTGGAGGAATTTAAGTATCTTAGGGTTTTGTTCATGAGTGAGAGAAGGATGGAATGTGAGATTAACTGGTGGATTGGTGCAGTGGCAGTAGTAATAGGTCAATGTATCGGTTTGTTGTGGTAAAGAAGGAGCTCAGCTGAAAGGCAAAGCTCTCCATTTACCGGTCAATCCACCTTCCTACTCTCACCTATGGTCATGAGCTTTGGGTCATAACCAAGAGGACAAGATCTCAGATTGAAGCGGCCAAAATGAGTTTCCTTTGCAGGGTGGCAGAGCACACCCTTATAGATAGGGTGAGAAGTTCTGTCACCCGGGAGGAGCTCGGAGTTGAGCCACTGCTCCTCCACATTGAGGGAAGTCAGCTGAGGTGGCTCGGGCATCTTTTTCGGATGCTTCCTGGACGCCTACCTAGGGAGGTGTTCCAGGCATGTCCCACCGGAAGGAGACCTTGGGGAAGAACCCAGGACACGCTGCAGGAACTTTTTCTCTCAGTTGGCCTGGGAACGCCTTGAGATCCCCCTGGAGGAAGTGTCTAGTGGGAGGGAAGTCGCGGTTTCCCACCTAAGACTCTTGCCCCTGTGACCTGGCCCCTTGAAAAGCGGATGAAAGTGAATGAGTGATTAAATGAAGGAATGTTATTATTAAGATTTTGTCACCTTGGAATTATAAGGTTCTATCTGCATTCTGAATGATTTTGAGATATTGAGCTTCAAAATTTTTACATTCGATAGCATGTGTAACATTTTTTTTTTAATAAAAAGTCTTAAAATGTAAAGAACTTGTAAAAAAAATAAATAAATCCCATGATGTAAATAAGTTGTCATTTAATAAGAATATGTCAATAACTCAATTTTGACAAAAATGTCAGATAGAACCTTAAAATTCTAACGTGACGATTTGTCAATTTACTAATAACATTTAATTGAACTTGGCTGTGAACATTCAAACTAATCATATTATAATTTTACAAAAGCAGAACTAACTGGTAAGATATAAATTGTTACTGGTAATAATCACAAATGATTCTAGTGTCTAATAAATAAGTACAAGTACTTAATGAATATCTATTAGCGCATATTAACAGGCACTATCTAAGTAATATGTATCTAGCATTTAGGCCTTAATGAATGCTTTCTAGTAATATTTTAAAAGAAACTCATCACTATTGGAAATAATACATGTCAGAACTGAATTGGTTACAATGAAATTATATGTTTACGAACATGAACTGAGAGTGAACAATCTTCTACAGCATTTTTAATCATAGCACTATATTTACAAATACATTATTAAAATATAAATTTGTGTTTAAGGTTTTTCCCAGAGATGGGTTGCAGCTGGAAGTGCATCCGTTGCGTAAAACATGTGCTGGATAAGTTGACGGTTCATTCCGCTGTGGTGACCCCGGATTAAAAAAAAGGGGACAAAGCCAAAGAGAAAATGAATGATGAATGTTTGTGAGGTTGTGAGTTTCACTGAATTAGCATGTAACTAACAACTTTGTTCTCAACTTTGTTGTTTCAAGCACTTATAATGCACTAAGTGTATCGATAATTGTTAATGTTAGTGAATGCATTGATTAACATGAACTAATGGACAATTATTTTAAAGTGTTGCCAGATTTTTTGTCTCTCTCGTGTATTCATATTCAGCATATTATTAGCACACTGTGCAAAAATACAAATATTGGAATGAGTACTATAATCTAGTTAATAAGAACTTGCACTGTATCTCATGAATAAGTTGTCATTTTACAAAAGACTAAAGTTGTCTAAAGAAACACTATAGTAACTAAACATATAATGTAATAAACATTCATTGCCTTATTTTTTATAACATGTATTAAGCATTGTGCTAGTACTTGATGTATAATACATTAGTATCTAATGAAAGTGCTATTAGCATGAAATTCAATAGTATTTACGATTTATAGAATACAAATTAAAATATCTTGCCATTTGTATTATTTGTTGGTTTTCAGGGCCACCCGACATTGGTTAATGCTCTGTCAAGAGTGTATGGAAAAGTCTGTGATCGTCAGCTTGACCCTTTTAAAGAAATCTTGGTCACAGTAGGTGCATATGGATCTTTGTTCAGCACTATGCAGGCTCTAGTTGAGGAGGGAGATGAGGTGAAACATTTAGCACTTATTTATCAATGTTTTAACATATAATTGCACTTATGTATTCTCAATTCCTTGTTTTCTCCCTTTCAGGTTGTTATCATAGAACCTTTTTTTGACTGCTATATACATATGGTGAAAATGGCAGGGGCCAAACCTGTTTTAATACCTTTGCGATTGGTAGGCAAGCCTTCTCTATAATAAAAATAACAGTGGTTTGCATATTTACATAAACCATAACACTTGATTGCCCTGTTTTGCAGAAGTCGACAGCAACAACTGGTATAAGTAGTGCTGACTGGGTTCTGGACCAGGAAGAACTTGCTAGCAAATTCAATCCCAAAACCAAAGCTATCATCATCAACACTCCTAATAACCCTATTGGAAAAGTAAGGTCACATAAATGGCATGTCTTGTAGCTCAAATAGTAGAAATTGGCTCTAACAAGCAAGAACAGATAAAACATGTACCTTCAATTATTAATTAATATGTCTCTATGGATAAAAGTATCTGCCACATGTATAAATGTGAAATAGCTGTTAATCCACAACTCAATTTTTAGGTATTCAGTGGGAGCGAGTTGAAAGCTATTGCAGATCTCTGCATCAAACATGACACTCTGTGCTTCAGTGATGAGGTTTATGAATGGCTCATTTATAAAGGTCATGAGCATGTAAAGATAGGTATGTGATATTTCTCCAGTTGTGCATCTTAATGTTTTGTGTCAATTACATATTTGGATTACATATTATATAAATGTGATGATTCTGATCTATTCTTTCTGGACAGCAACTCTTCCTGGAATGTGGGACAGAACCATCACTATCGGCAGTGCAGGGAAAACATTCAGTATGACTGGATGGAAGGTATTTGGACATCATCTTCTGTAGTTGTCTTTATCTCAAACCTGGAATAGGAATAACTCACCTAAATAAATAAACAGTACTGTACAAAAATAGTAGGATGTGTGCATTCTTAACTTAATTATTTAGTTTTTATATAGAAGTTTTATTTCATTTCGTTTTTAACATTTGTTTTGACTTATTACTGGAATTAACTGTAAAAAAGGAAATATTTACATAAAATAACTTTTCAGTTTATTTATAAACTAATTTTGAGAGGAGCACACGATTATGATTCAACATGGCTGGTCCTAATGCATGATTCTTAACTGTATATAAATAATAATTAGTTTCTCACTTCAGTTATCTTCGCTTTGAAGAATCCACTGCTCCTTCATTTTTCCCTTTATAGGGCAGCCCAGTGGTTAGCATTGTTGCCTCACAGCAAGAATGTCACTGGTTCAAATCCTTAACAGGGCACCTGTCGTTTCTGTATAGAGTTTATGTTCTTCTCGTGCTCACATAGCTTTCCGCTGGGTTCTCCAGTTTCCTTCCAGTCCAAAAACATGTGTCATAAGTAAATTGATCATTCTAAATTTGCACTATAGTCGAGCTCTTAATAAGTAGTATATCTCTACAAAGCAAATATAATCTGCCATCAGCTCTAAACAAAGGATCAAAGAAATCACAGGGCTCTCTCCCAGGACAGCATGATAAACACATTTATAATCAATCATCAGCTCTTGAAATGTTGTTTTTGTTGTTAAAAATACAAGTTAAATTAATCTGACAGAAAAAATGTGAGTTTTAGTCATGGATCAATTTTGAGCAAAATATTAATGATTATCATTACACCTATTATCCTGCAGTCTTACAAGGCACCATGGCCAGTATAGGAAGTAAAAATCACATTTGTTTTTTTCTGTAAGAGAAATTATTTTTTAGCTATAAATTAAAGCTTTACATTGGAAATACAATTACATGTGCTTACTTTGGGGTACACATTTGTTAACCAATAAGTTTTTCTTTTATCATTTCTTTTATTTCATTTGTTTTAAAGCTAAATTCCTATAAAATAACATCAGTCAATAATCAGCATACCCATGATTTTAAACAACTTTATAAGATGTATGTTTGTGCTTATAACATAATCTGTTAAAATTCTTCATTCTTAATGGCTAGAAGATGTACAAGAAATTTGTTTTCGACATGGTCAGTTGAAATTCCTTATTCTGATTGATTGGAATCTGTACAATAAAATATTAATGAAGTTCCTGTCAGTTTTGGTCACAGTTCTAAATAACTGTGCCACACTCAAATATTAGTTGTAACCATGATTACTCAGGCCATGTTCACATGTATTAAAAATATTTATTTTTATAAACTGAGTTTATAAACCCACTTTTGTTCTTTAAAAAATCTCTGTCCACATGATAATGCAAAAATGTGAGGAATGAGGAGATGTCACATTCCGTAACTGATGATAGTTCAGTGAAATATTGTGCTGCCAAGAGCACCTCTTGTTTTTACTACCAAGTCTAAACCTTGGAAAATTACCACGGAATACTCTGGGTAATTACAGGTGTGCCACGCAAAGAACTACTCAATGTAAATTCCTTATACATTTTGCAGTCAGCACACAATATTTAGCTACTATGTATGTAATATGTATGGAGTCATCTCAACCGTGCTTGCTCATATTACTAACAAGGTGGACAAACTCTTAACATTTCTCTATTTTCTTCATTCATTGTTTAGTAATCTACAACTTTCAGTGATCAGGGTAGACTGTCTGGGTCCTCAAACTGCCCAATGATTATTTTGCACTGTGAGACCACCCTATACTACTAGAATGCTCACTCACAAGTCCATACTGTATGGTGTTTAAACCATTCACCCAGACCTTCTGAAGGTAGGCAAACGTGGACTATCTCTGATATGTGATCGGTTTCTTCTCACTGTTCTTGATGTAAAGTCGACATGATACGATTTCAGTGTTTCTGCTCTGCTTTAAACAATTATTTATCCATTGTTTCTAACCAGACCTCACTTTTTGTGTGCTTTTTTAGACCAGTGTACGTGTTTCTGTTTTAATCCTAAAAAAAATTTCTGAAAGTCTTTAGACCTGGCTTTGATTTTAGTTTCTACTGACTGACTGTTAATGGTGTTCTTATATTTTGTTCCATAAACAGTTGTGCTGGCAAAGATCAATGTGCCAGGAGGGTAACTCTATACACCATAAGTGCCTAATGAGTATCCTCCCCCTTTTTAAGGATTGATTTAACTGTCTGGAGATAATGTGTGAAATCATTGTCAATCGCAAACTCTCCATATTCTTCAGCAAAGAACTGTGTCTCTGGCACTCCATGTCTTACAAATATTAGTTTCACTGTCACTGAAGCTGTGGTGGTTGAAGACAGGTCAGCCATTTATATATATTGTGAGAAGTAATCTACTACTTCTATACATGCCTCTCCTTCAACTCTCTGCCTATTTGGAAGCTCTGTTGCCATCAGTGGCTCTTGCAAAGCACTTCATGAAACTGCTCACCCTTTTCTTTGGTTTGCTTTGGGTACCACATACTTTGTGACCCCCAGCTTTTACCAATAGTCCTCCAATCAATAAATTCTGATGGTATTGCCTGTATAACTACAACGGTGGTGAAAGTGCACTGTACCAATCTTCTCAGTCTGCTACAGGTCTCATCATTTTCTTGTGCAAATTTTATCTGTGCAAGTCTGTTCAGTTGCAGGCATATTTTTACTATTTGACTGATGAATGCACATACTTCCCCTTCCCTTTTTAGTTTTCACCAGTAGGAGCTGTATAAGTGTCATTGATAACGCATCCAATGTTATCAGTTTTTTTTTCTTTCTCAGAACATGTTTGATTCTGTACAGAACCCTGAGTAATCTTAGTTTGAATCTGAAAATGAAAGGAGGCAAAAAAAAAAATCCGGAGCTCTACAACCTAGTAAAAAATTAGAGGTAAATGATCAATTTGGATAAGTAATTCCATTCCAACGAAGTATGTCTGAAATTGCTCACACGCCCATATCAGAGTGAATACCTCTTTCTTGATAATATTGTTGTTCTGCATGTGACATTCTTCTTGACATGAATGCAACATGTCAACATTCTCCAATTGTTTGTCTGTGATAGGACTTCTGCTGAAGTCGAAGCATCTGCTGCAACTTTTGTTTCTCTGTTTAAACAGTATTGAGCCAAAACTGTGGGTTAAACTTAACACTCTGCACAACTATAAAAGTTTTCATTTGTGTGCTACCTTATGCCAATTCCATGTCTGTTTTAATTAGATCTTGTAATGGTTCCTTCAATTCTGCAAACATGGTGAAAACTTCCGTAAAAATTTTACCATATCCACAAATTAGTCACATGTTTTGTTGTGAGCATTTCAGTTATGGCTTTGATCTTTTATGGGAAAATATCAAAACCATCTATACTTTGTGTTGTCACCACATAGCCTAGAAACATCACATTTTAGCAAACTATCATGTTTCATTGTAACGAGTCAGCTCCTCTTTCTGGAGTTCCTCTAGCACTCTATAAATCATTTAATCATGTTGTTCGAAAGATGAGGTAGTAGTCTGCATTGCATAGTGTGCCCTCCAATTCTGAAAGCATCAGGCTCAGACATTTCTAGAAATATTCTGGTGATGAGGAATTCCAAAAAACAATCGTTAACAACAGTAACTTTTAAATGGTGAGATGAACACCACCCACAATCCTGCTGTTGCATCCAGTTTTGTGAAGGCAGTAGCCCCTGCCAGCTTCATGACTGTTTTGTCTACTGCTGGAAGTAAATGTCTTTCCCAACATACATACACACTCAGTCAAGTAAGTCAGATCATAATATATTCTCACTTTTCCATTGAGTTTTGGCACTACCCATCCCCGCACACCAGTCTGTTGGCTCTTTAATAGGTTTTATGACACCTATTTGCTCCAGACTCCACCAAGCCTGGAGCTACTCCACTCCACTACAGTAGGCTTCTTTATTTACTCTTTACACAATTTGTGTGCAGTACATTCCAGTCAGTTCAAGCCCACACAACATGTAGACGGCATTGCAACATGAGCAATTTACACCCTATTTTCATCATACACACCTTCATCTGTTAACATTAGGGTGTGGAATTGTCAGTAAGCTGTCAACAAAGCATTCCATTATTTGAATCACAATCGTTACATACTGGTTTTGACTGAGACCTGAATTCGTCCCCACACTGTCACTCTAGCTGCTTTCTCTAAATGCATTGCATTCACCCACACTCACTCCCTGCCCATCTGGAAAATACTCTAATTATTCGGACTTTACTAATAATTCTGGATTTGAATAGCATGGAGTCTCTATCACTTTGGCTAATTTCATATTCTGGTCAATTACTGTCCTCCTGGTCAGTTGGGTGCATTTACTGAAGGACTGGGACTATCCACTTAAACGAACCTTATGTTACAGATATTTATTCTCTCGTTATATTATTCAACCTCAACCAACTTATCACCACGAGCACACATAAAACTGGCACTAAACTTGATCTTATCAGTCAGTTGCCCACTTCAGACCATTTCAGCATTACAATCGATTTACACAACCACACGCCACTCTCCCAACCATTCTCTTTTAGATGCAATCTGCGTTCTCTGTCCTCCACACGCTTCTCCTCCACTTTTACATTCTCTCTCTTCTCTAACTTTAACATCTTGCCTAGATGAGATCTTTCCTTTCTCCACCAGGCCAATGCGCTCTTTTCCTTCTAACCCCTGGCCCTCATAGCAATAGAGAGAGCATGCTACCCCCCCACAGACCTAAGCAACTATCAAGCCCAGCTTGCAATATTTGCCTACTAACTTCATTCTGCCAAACCCTATACTACCATAAAAAAATCAACAGCTCTTCAGACACCTGCAAACTGTTCAGGCTGTTAAATTCCCCGCTTTGTCCTTTTCTGCCACCTTCTTATCAGCTGATGATTTGCACAAAAGCACTCAAATTAGCAATCT